ATAGCTTCTTTGCAAGGTCAACAAGCATTGTTTTTCAACCAGATAGCCATTGCCATCTTAAATAGAAGGATGAATAGACGTAGAAGAAGAAGAAGATTGAGAACCCTGTGGGTCCGCCCTTGGTTGATGCAACACAGACAGTTGCAATTCGGGGACTACAACCAACTAATGCAAGAACTGCGTCTAGAAGATGAAGGGTCATTCTACAATTATCTGAGAATGGAGCCAGCGCTTTTTAACGAACTCCTCCAACCGGTTGGCCCAAGAATCGCCAAACAGAACACGAATTGGCGAGCAAGTTTCGAGCCTGGTTTGAAACTTGTCGTAACCCTCAGGTTCTTTGCAACTGGGGACAAATACCCAAGCCTCCAGTACCAGTATCATGTGTCACGCAGCATGATCTCCATTTTTTTTGTGCCTGAAGTTTGCAGAGCTATCAGAGATGAATATAAGACTGAAGTTGTCAAATGCCAGAGGAGCTCCAAAGAGTGGAAAGCTGTTGCAGATGACTTTCAGAGACTTACCCCGTGCACTCGGAGCCATTGATGGGAAACATATAGCCGTGCGTTGTCTACCAAACACAGGTAGTTTCTATCACAACTATAAGGGATTTTTCTCTCTTGTCATTGCATTAGTGGATGCAAATAATAAATTTTTATGGTGTTGGAACAATGTCAGACAGCCAGATTTTCAATGAATCTGAACTGAAGACGTACCTCGAAGATGGCACAATAAAGTTTCCAACTCCTGAGTCATTGCTGAATGATGACTGTGACATACCATTCTTCCTACTTGGGGATGATGCATTTGCCCTCAGAACCTACATGATGAAGCCATATTCAACCAGGGCACTCACCAACAAGCAACGTATCTTCAACTATCCTATCTTTTGTGGAAGAAGAGTAGTTGAAAATCCGATTTCAACTTTCAACGATGCAGCCGATGCCTAATTCAGTCCAGGATGTTATTGAAGCAAACATTTGTCTTCACAATACAATGCGAGACCGATATGCAACGCTACTGAATGTTTGACACTGAAGACGATAACCACGACCTCATACCTGGAGAATGGAGACAACAAGCAAATATACATGATGTTGCACACGTAGTCAGACCAAACCGAGACACATGAGCAGGAAAACAGTTGCGAGAGTATCTGAAGTTGCACTTCAACAATACAGCTGGATCAGTTCCATGGCAAGACTGTATGATTTGAAGTGTTGTGTATGGAACTGAATTGCTATGCGGATGGAATTGTTTGATGATGTTCATACTGCTATCATTACTCAACATTAGTCTTATGAATTCATTATGGATATCTGGATTTCCAAATAAAGTATCAATATTGTTTGTCTTCAATTTTGTTCATATCTCAAAAAACATTGTCAGCAGTAACATTTTCCTGTTGGCCAATGTTTTTGGTAATTCTTTTGGGTTTTGGCCTTTCGTCTAGTGGCATACCTTCTTGGAGGCATGGTGAGACGTCTAATGACAAGCTCGGCAGTTCTCAAATACCGTGGACATCGGCAGTACAAGACCTATTTATATATAATCTGGAAAGGCAGAGTGAACGCCGTGATTGTTCAAAGGGAAGTGCTAGTCGCTGAATGAAGGCAGAGTGAATGCTCAACGAACGTCAATGGATGCTCGACGGACGCACCATGAAGGCAGAGAGAAGGCAGGGGCAACGCCACAGTTTACGAAGTTTTTATGTGGCGTCCTTTCGCCGACCATTGTGCCTTCACTCTGCGACCTAGGTGATGGCCCTTCCACCTGCGTCCTGTTGTCAATTCACCATGACAGCGACCGCTCTGCGTTTGTTTTGAGCATGTTCAATACAGTCGACACTACAGTGGCCACTACTGAGCCGTTCTTGGCGTTGGTTCTGCCTACTTTCTGCCTTCATGGTGATGGCTCTGCCTTCTCTCTGCGTTCTTCATTCCTCCTTTGAGCGTTCAATGGCGTTCCGAACATATTTAGAAGGCAGAGAGAAGACAGAGTGGTCGCCGTCCTCTGTAAAGGGGGCTTAACCGAACAAGCGGCTATTACCGAACATAATTCCATTTCCGTATGTTTTTCTCAACTTGCTGGTCGTGAGAGCTTTTTCTGAGTGTGTAGCTTCAGAGCTTCTTGAGTACCTTCCAGCAGACTGTCGTTTAACATAAAAAATATAAATCGAAACAATAAGAAAAGAAATAAAATTAAATCAATTACTCAAATTTCAGTTACGTAAGTCAATGTTAGCTGATACTAAAAGTGCCACAAAAGGCCAAATGTTTATTGGTCTTAGATAATCGTGTTTGCTTGGTCCTATAAGACCATTGATATGATATTTTAAAACAACAGCAGTAGTTTTCATGATAAATTACCTCTTCAACCTAAAAAAGAACATACATAAAAGTCAGTTGATACTATTGATCAAGTAATAAATCCTGGGCCCCGTTCCACAAACGATCGTAGGGCTAAGTTGATCGTAACTCCCATACTTTAACATAAATTTACGACTGTCGTAGCGCTACGATCGCTTTGAGGAACGGGACCCAGCAGATCTGCAATTTCTGCAGAACACTGGCGATATGAGGAAATTGTTGCAATTTAGTTATCTTTTAAACCCAAATAAACGAATCGTGAAAACACTATCGATCAATAGATAAATGTTAAGATATTTGCACTAATGTAAGTGTTTATTTTTTTTAAAACTTGACAAATTTTGTCTTCAACCGAATGACGAGAGGTTGATCGAAGTATCGCCTGTAATGTAATAGTAAATCATGAAATATATTTATCAGATATTTATATGCAAGAAATGTATCTCTCTCTTTTTCAATGCAATTGTTATTTTTATTTCACAAGATACTGAAGAAGTACAAGTCATGTTTGCTGCTTTTTATACAGGAATAGTACTCGATTATCAGGGTTATCCTGAACAGACTTTAAGTGACCAGTCAAATAACAGTTGTGACTAATGTTACCATGGCTTATTTTGAATTTGGGGCCGTATTTTGTGTCAGTTACATCCTTGTTAGAATTTCAATTTAACGTCAATTCGTTCTTTACAGATACTATCGATCAAGGGACTCTTTTCTCTTTCCTCGTTCCTGTTACTGAACTTTTCATAATTTGTCAATTTTAGTAACAGGAACGAGGAAAGTGTTTATCAACCTTCTGTACACGATTGGAAACAAACGATAATGCGTCAAAGCAACGCCACTTCGATCTCAGCTACATTTATATAACACACCTTGTGTTCGGAATAGCCCGACATGGCTATTCGGAATAGCCTGACAAGGGTGTTCAGACGAGTCGACACAAGTTAAAAACAATTATGAAAATTTGATGATGTGAAATATCTGTTGTTGTTTATTCGAACAACCAATTCTGAAACATTGTCGATGAACTGTGAATCGCTGAGAATGTTTTGGAAAACAAGAACTTTCAGCCATATTGCAGAGTGTTTATAAAAACACGTCACACCTCATACAGTTCATAATTGAATGACAAATGGTCTTTGTCGCCAATACCAAGTGTCTCAGTGAAATCTAGCAAAATATACCAGAAGAGAAAACGAATGCCACGCTGGGAAAGGACCACATGTTTGAAATGTAAACAAAGCCAAGCTCAGATTTTACACTGTATTATTTTCTCATACTGTGAGAGATCCATTCGTCTACTTGTATACACGGTACGTAAGTCCCAAAACATTCGAAGTAAATTAAAACGTTCCACTTTTTAATCGTAGAATACGTGTTCTTTTAATGTATGGCTACATTTGCTAAATTGCTAACGGATGAAGGGGTGGTGTAAATCCAGCTAGGGTCCATGCAGGAAGCAAATGTGCTGTAAGTCCCCATGGTCCCTAGTACGGTGATCTACCTTCAGTTGTTGGCGATCTATAGCCTGATTTTATATTGTATTGTCATGTATAGTTAAAATATTTTAGATTGAAGTACTAGTTTTAAATTGATATCTGTGATAATCAAGTTGTTTTAGTGTCCTTCGTTGACTGAATTTTATAATTTACCTTTAGTTGTTAACATATTTATAACTTGATTTCCTACAATCTCCAGTGGCTGAAGGGATGGTGTAACTCCAGCTAGGGTCCATGCAGGTAGCAAAGGTACTGTAAGTCCTCATGGTCCCTAGTATGGTGATCTACCTTCAGTTGTTGGCGATCTCTAGCCCATTTTTATACTGTCTTGTCCTAATTCGAAGTCCAATTTTAGAGAGATATGCTAGTTATATTCTTAATACTGTGATATTCTAGTTGGTTTTACTGTCCTTCGTTGACAGGTTATTTATAATCTGCATATATTTATGTTCAATTTGAAACTTGATATAGTCACGATATGGCTGAAATACTGCCGATGTGACTTAAAATCTTAACTCACTCACTCACTCTCACTTGTATACACTTGCTCATTAGTTTTAGAACATGCATGGAACGAAAGAACGAAAGTTTTCTTCTAAATATCTGGTGTATGAAATTATGCATGATCAATCGGCCTGCTGCTTATATTTTCAGTTCTAATGCTTCTTTCGTATTTTTACACACTTTTTTCATGTGATTTTTTTCGGTATTAATATATTTTGTTTTGGGACTAGACAGGAAACCAGTCAAAATCAATTGGCACCAATTACGTCATAATCAATGGCATAACATTGAGGCACTTACGTTGAGGGTTATACCTTCATTGTAAAACCAACGAGTGTATATTTTCAAGTAGATCTATTGATATTAACTAATTCAAAAATCCATTTTGTTTCACAGAAGGGAAAAATGTGATTTTTTTCGTGTACACTTCCCCTTTAAGAAAATTCTGAAAGAAATTCTCAGTATCCTCTACACTTAGGAGTAACTCTTTATTCTGAGAAGTTTTATAAATACGACCCCTGGTCTCTTGCATCCTCAAACTGGACACGCAGAGTATCTGTGTTGAACATTTAGTAGTAATACAGGCCAATGTTACTCAGGATTAAAATATGATGCGTCTCTTTTGTAGGTGAGGAGGCAACACATGGAGAAGAGTATTGCGTTTTTAGTGGACGAGCTGAAGGTGGTTGACAAGAAGACAGCCGAGGACCGAGTGTTCTTTGTGTCAGCTCGTGAGGCCCTGGTTTCCAGGCTGCACCAGGACAAAGGAACGCCTGTCCCCAGTAAGATGTTGTCATTTTCACAGTAGACACTACACTGACATCCTGTTAATACATAAACCTGTTTTCTACACTTACTGACTGGATCTGAACCAGTATAACAGGGTTTCGTTGGATTTATCTCGTGAACTTAATTCCAAATTTCTTGTTAAGAAGGGCTGATAATTACCCTCAGACTCATTCTGAACTGTAATCATAAGATATGCTGCTAAAACAGCTATCAAGTCAGAATACACCCAAGAGCCAGAGATATTCTGTGCACAGATAGTGATAAAAAAATAGAGAGGGGCTGTCACTTCAAACAGTTGATGGCAGTTGAGTACAGGGTTTTTATCCCCCGCAATGCGTTTTGCGGGGAGTATTAAAATGTACTCCGTCCGTGCACATTTGTCTTTTCCGGAGCATAACTCCAAAACCGTTCAATATTTCTTCACAAAACCTGGCACATAGATAGATCTGGTGGTCTCCTGGTGCCTTTTTGTAGGTTTGGATTTATGAATAAAATATTATTTTGCGTTTCCATGGCAACAAGTTGGACTTAAACTGAAATTGGTTGTAGTACTCCAAACTTGGTACATAGATAGATGTGGTGGTGAACTGGTGCCTTTTGGCAGTTTTAGATTTCTGAATAAAATATTTTTTGCGTTTCCATGGCAACAAGTTCGACTTCTACTGAAATAGGTGGTAGTACTCTTTTCCGGAGTAGAACACTAAAAGCGTTGAATGTTTCTTCACCAAACTTGGCACATAGATAGATCTGGTGGAGAACTGGTGCCTTTTGGTAGTTTTGGATTTCTGAATAAAATATTATTTGCGTTTCCATGGCAACAAGTTTGACTTAGACTGAAATTGGTGGTTGAGCTCTTTTCCGGAGCAGAACTCTAAAAGCGTTCAATGTTTCTTCACCAATCTTGGCACATAGATAGACCTTGTGGTGAATTGGTGCCTTTTGGTAGTTTTGGCTTTCTGAATTAATATTTTTGTGTTTTCATGGCAACAAGTTTGACTTAGACTGAAATTGGTGGTAGTGCTCTTTTCCGGAGCAGACCTTAAAAACCGTTCACTGTTTCATCACGAAATTTCATACATAGGTAGGTCTAGTGGTGAACTGGTGCCTTTTGGTAGTTTTGGATTTCTGAATAAAATGTTTTTTGGTGTGTTTTTTTGTGTTTCCATGGCAACAATTTTGGCTTCAACTGAATTTGGTGCTAGTGCTCTTTTCTGGACCAGAACTTTGAAACCTTTCAGTAATCTCCTTCCACTTAGCTATATACACGCCAGAAACATTGACATAATCATAACTTGTAGACATATTCATAAAGAGTATTTTGCCATTGCGGGGGATATTGATGATTTGTCTTCTTGTTATCCTTATATATCCGGCATTGTCTTGGGGCTCCGTAATATGTGGCTAATAATTGCGTAAATATGATCTGAAAATCTGAAAAATGGGGTATTTCAGCTGCTCAGTATTCATGTGCGAGATGAATGTTTGTTGCAGTGTTGCTATGCGCAAATCGGCTTGGTTGTGAAGTAATTATTGTAAGATAATAATGATGAAACACAGGCAAACTGTAGCGCAAATAGGATTCCGCAACAGAGAGAAGAAATGAACAGTCTTCCTTTATGCTTCGCTCGCATATAGGAAGATAGGTAAGTTTTCTCTCTGTTGTGCAACCCAATTTCCTCTACAGTTTGCCTGTGGATCAAATTACATGCACACCTGAAGGCGATATATTCGTCATGATGTTTGATGTCAGTTTTGAATGAGTGAGTGAGTTAAAATTTAAAGTCACATCAGCAATATTTCAGCTATATCGTGACTAAAACTAGTTCTAAATACATAATAGGGGTGGTGGGGTAGCCTAATGGTGAACACGTTTGCTCGTCACGCCGAAGACCCGGGTCCAAATCCCCACATGGGTACAATGTGTGAAGCCCATTTCTAGTGTTTCGCGCCGTGATATTGCTGGAATATTGCTAAAAGCCACGTAAAACCACACTCACTCACTCTAAATTCATAATAAATACATATAATTTATAACACCTGTCAAGAAGGACAGATTAATTACTAGATTTTCACAATAAACTAACCAGAATATATTTATTAGAAGAAAACTATTTTGGACAATACAATGAAATATGAACAACTAAGGTCCATGGGGACTTACAGTGCCTTTGCTACTTGCATGCACCCCAGCTGGATTTACACCATCCCTTCAGCCATTGACGATTATGCTTGACTCGCTTGTACTCACGACAATAACCCTTTCAGCGTTACAAATTTGTTTTACAGTACATCAGTTCATGTGTAAACAATACCTTCAAACAATATGGAATATTTTGCAAACTCTAGTTTAGAACAGTTGACTGAAGTGGCTACATTTACACTAGTCTAAACTATTGATGGGTAGTATAGTTTCTAAATTTGTGGACAGAGCTCGATGCCTGTCTGACATGACTGAAGAACAAATTGTCAAGGAACTCTCTCAGCAATCCGTCACAGCCGTAAAACGATTCACCTTCAAAAAGGACGGTGTTGTTCAACCAACGAACACCTATCTCTTCACGTTCGCGCGAGCAAACATTCCTGACTCGATTAGAGCTGGTTATTGTAGCATTGGTGTGGAGGTGTATGTCCCCAATCCACTCCGGTGCTGCCAAAAGTTTGGACATGGATCCAAATCCTGTCGTTCCTCTGCTGTTTGTTACCGCTGTGGTGACAAGCATGAGGGCAACGACTGTACTAAGGAAGTGAAGTGCACAAACTGCGGTGGTAACCATATGGCCTCTTCCAAGTTCTGTCCAGTGTGGCAACGCGAATCCGAGATACTAAAGATCAAGCACAAAGAAAATATCTCCTTTCACGAAGCAAAGAAGAGGGTTGCAAGTTTAACTGCAGCCCCTTCAACCATCACCTACTCTTCTGCTGTCTCCCGTCCTACTATCACTACTGCAACCATCTCATGTCAGACCGACCTGACATGGATCATGTCTTCTCAGCCAACTGAACTCAACACAAACTACTCTTCTGCTGTCTCCCGTCCTACTATCACTACTGCAACCATCTCATGTCAGACCGACCTGACATGGATCATGTCTTCTCAGCCAACTGAACTCAACACAACTCAACCTATCTCAGCAACTCCATCTCCAACGCCAAAAGTCAAAACCTCTGAATCACAAACACCAGAACAAATGCCAAAACCAGAAACAGAAACTGCGCGCAGAAAAAGGGAAAAAAAGAGGCTAGAGAGACTAAAACAACTTGAACAATTGCCAAACACAAAACCAAAGGCCACCTCCCCTTCAGAGGTCCCCATCGAGGTCCATAACTCCTTTGGCCCTCTGGATATGGAGGTAACTTCAACTCCACCTCACACCAATAGGAGTTCATCAAACGCTTCCTCACGTTCACGTGACATGTCACCAGTAGAAGCACCATGAATCCACAAAACATGATCCAATGGAATTGCAGAGGACTTAAGAATAATAATAATGAATTACAGTTATTGATTGAAGACTTCAAACCATCTGCGTTTTGTCTCCAAGAAACCTACCTAAAAAGGACCGATAAATTTGACATCCGTCGGTACAGTTCCTACCACTCCTTTTCTCCTCCCGGTGTAAAAGCTACAGGAGGCACTTCTATCCTGGTGAGGCAGGGTGTCCTTCATAGCCCCGTTCCACTTAAAACCAACCTACAAACTGTTGCTGTCCGCATGACTCTGAACATAGGGTTTACACTATGTTCCTTCTATTTCCCTCCCACCTCAACTGTTCGCCTATCAGATCTTCAGAACTTATATGATCAAATCCCGAAGCCCTGCATAATCATGGGCGACTTCAACGGCCATAACCCCCTATGGGGGAGTACTGATACAAATAGTATGGGAAAGGTCCTTGAAGAGTTTCTCTCAAATGATGATGTATGCATCTTCAACGATGGATCAAACACCTACCTCCATCCTGCCACTGGATCATACTCTGTTCTCGATCTATCACTTAAAGATTCTAATCTTTTAAATGAGTTCGAATGGTCGGTCCATGACGACCTTTGTGTGGAAGCGACCACTTCCCAACAATTCTTACTCCTATCAACCTCACGGATGAACCACCTTCAACAAGATAGAATTTTACTAAGGCCAATTGGCCTTTATTCCAAACCCTATGTTCAGAAAAACTTAAGCCGGACAACTTCAGGAATGTCCCTGACCCCATGGAACTATTTTCAGACGTCCTAAATGCCATCGGAGACAAAACTATTCGAAAGTCCTCTGCAAACCCGCACATACGCAAACCATGGTTTGATACAAACTACAAACAAGCTAGGAAAAATAGGAGGAAGGTGGAAAAATATTTCCGACAACATCCTACACTGCATAACCTGAATGCTGTTAAAATGACAAATGCCAGGGCAAAACGTACCTTCAAACAAACTAAACGCCGGTCATGGAGGAAATATGTGTCAAAAATCAACTCCCGCACACCCATGTCCAAGGTGTGGAACATGATTCAAAAGATTAAGGGCAAAAGGGTCAAAATCAGGAGTTCACCACCTGAAAAATGGAGACTCCCTCCTAACAAATAAATCTGAAATTGCCAACAACCTTGGCGAAACTTTGGCAAACCACTCCTCCTCATCAAATTATAACCCCCAGTTCCAGAAATGTCAAACCCAAGAAGAAAAGAAACCAGTCAATTTTAACTCTGATAATGGGGAGGATTACAACGAAACGTTTTCCCTCCATGAATTACGTACTGCCCTAGGACAGGCTCACAACACTGCGGCAGGAGCTGATGAAATCCATTATCAGCTTCTGAAACACCTCCCTGACACAGGCTTGGAAACACTCCTAAATATATTTGATGACATCTGGACATCCGGACACTTCCCCCCCCTTCGTGGCACAATGCCATTATTATCCCTATACCAAAACCCGGCCGCGATCATACTGATCCCTCAAACTACCGTCCTATATCACTAACTAGCTGCGTTTGCA